AAAAAAAAAAAAAAAAAAAAAATCCTATTTTGTCTAAATACTATTTGAGAATCATTTCCCAGTGACAAATTAATCCAAAGTGCTCTTATGAAATCTACAATATTTTATGTATTTTAGAAGTGTCCTCATCTTTGGGGAATTTGATATATTTTCTATTTAGCATCATTTCAAGAATTCCAAGGATTTTCCTAAGGGTCCTTTCGCCTTAATTTCAAGATAAAAAACAATTAGTTAGATATGAACGATGGGGGAAACCAGGTGAAGGGTATGTGGGAAATCTCTCTGAAACTTTTCTATACATCTAAACTTATTTTAAAATAAAACGTGTAGTGAAAACCAAATTTCTATCTATTGAGACAGTCCAGAAGCATAGAAGAAATTAGAGGAGGATATAGGTGATACTTTGATGACATTCTGGAGTAGGTGACTTTGTGACATACTTAAAAAAAGAACATCTCTTCAATTTTTAATTTAAAATCTAGTTATGCTTGTCATGCTAAGTAGAAAAACAAAAACAAAATATCACAAAGAAAACAAAAAAAATCTATTTCAAGATCACTAAATTGAAATCACTACTAGAATTATCTTCTATTAAACTTTTAGCGTAACTCTCCATTATATGTATGACTTTTAAGAATAAAAATTGGCATCTCACTATAGCATGCATTTTCAGTTATCAATATATAACAAACATTTTCTCATGCCAAAAATATTTGCTATAAAATGAACTTCATTGTTCCATCAAGTGCATTTTTCATAATTTATTTAACCTGTCCCCCACTACTTGACATTTTGGAAGTTTCCAACTTTTCTCTAGGGTAAATAGCTCTACGATAAATAATTTCTGTCTAAAGTCAGGTTCCCTTGAAGTAGAGCTTGAGGAAGGGATTCAGCTACACATGATTAATTGGGGAAGTGTTCCCAGGAGAGAAGACGTGAGGGAGTCGGGGTGGGTCAGGGGGAAGAGCTGAGCACAGATGTGGTCCCAGCTGGAGCCTAGCTTAGTCTGATTTCCTGGGGAGCTCTGGAGCGTGAATTGCACCACAGAGCTGGTGCTACTTGGAGGAAGGGGTCAGACTTGACACCTGTCAGTCAGTCAGCCATTGCCTCTAGGCTCTAGGTGGGCTTGGGGGAGAAGGAGAAGACTGTGCCACACATCTGGGACCAGGTCAGCCATGGGCAAGTCTCTAAAGCAGGGGGCAGCTGTGCACCATTTGGACCAGCCAATTAGAGGGGACCTGGGTGGGGCACCAATAGCCCCCACTGCAGCCTTGTCTGTTGACTTTGTGTGGCTTTTGTTGTTGTTTTCTCTGGTTGTTAGGAAACCGAAGAGTTTTACCAAAAGATATAAACGTTTTGAAGATTTTTGGTCCACATTATAACTTTTTTCTAGAAATACAATTTACATTTCCACCAGCTGTGTATAAAAGTACTTGATTTCATTTAAATATTGAAGATGTTTTTTTCCAGTTTGTCATCGAACTTTCTGCTTTATTTTTTAATGCACATAAAATTTCTTTTTTATGTAATGAAATATAGCAATACTTTCCTCGATGATTTTCTCCTTCACTTTATGATTAGATAGGTCTCCATTCTGGGATCACATCACCTATGTTTTCTTTAATTCTTTCTTGGTTTCCTATTATATATTTAAAGAATGAAACTTTAAAGTAAAGAATCTAAACTTACTTTTTAAAACACTTGAATCTACTGTTTCAGCACAATTTATGAAATTTGGACTGACTCCAATAATTACCACATGCTGAAGATCTTTGTGTATTCCTATCTATTCCTGAACTTTTTGCTTATTCCTTGATTTGTCAGTCTATTTCTGCACTATGCTATACCATTTCAATTGTTTAGCTTTTATATGTATTTTTAACATCTTGGTCATGCAACTTTATTTGCATTCTTCCTTCAGAAAATTTGTTTTGATTAATTTCTTGGATGTTTTATTTCCATGTGAATTTTATAATCATCTTGTCAAGTACGCAAAACAATATATTGAGATATTTATTGGAATTGCATTAAACTTGTTAATTGATTTAGGGAAAATCAACATCTTCCAAATATTAAATTGTTCCACGTTTTTTACAAAACTTTTAAGTCCTGTGGTCCAATTTTACAGATTTCTTTATTTCAGTCATTGTTAAGTTTATTCCTGGTTTTGTATGCGTATTGTCTGTGTGTGTTTGCAAGTGTGATTGTGGATGTGATTTATTTTTTAGGATGTCTTCTAAGTGATTATAATCATCTCTGTGAAAATGCAGACTATTTGTTTTTGCTATTCCCCATGTTACCCTCTTATTTATCCTCAGAGTTTTTAACTTGATTCTTTTGGATCCTTTGTGTCTGACTGAATGAATGAGCTAGAGAGGACAGCAGCATCAGAAGGGATCATGGAAAGGATTGTTCCCATCCCGGGAGGTGGTGGGGACAGGCACTGTCTCCTCCATCTCTGTTGAGCACCACCTGNGCACAATTTATGAAATTTGGACTGACTCCAATAATTACCACATGCTGAAGATCTTTGTGTACTCCTATCTATTCCTGAACTTTTTGCTTATTCCTTGATTTGTCAGTCTATTTCTGCACTATGCTATACCATTTCAATTGTTTAGCTTTTATATGTATTTTTAACATCTTGGTCATGCAACTTTATTTGCATTCTTCCTTCAGAAAATTTGTTTTGATTAATTTCTTGGATGTTTTATTTCCATGTGAATTTTATAATCATCTTGTCAAGTACGCAAAACAATATATTGAGATATTTATTGGAATTGCATTAAACTTGTTAATTGATTTAGGGAAAATCAACATCTTCCAAATATTAAATTGTTCCACGTTTTTTACAAAACTTTTAAGTCCTGTGGTCCAATTTTACAGATTTCTTTATTTCAGTCATTGTTAAGTTTATTCCTGGTTTTGTATGCGTATTGTCTGTGTGTGTTTGCAAGCGTGATTGTGGATGTGATTTATTTTTTAGGATGTCTTCTAAGTGATTATAGTTTCAGTCATTGTTAAGTTTATTCCTGGTTTTGTATGCGTATTGTCTGTGTGTGTTTGCAAGTGTGATTGTGGATGTGATTTATTTTTTAGGATGTCTTCTAAGTGATTATAATCATCTCTGTGAAAATGCAGACTATTTGTTTTTGCTATTCCCCATGTTACCCTCTTATTTATCCTCAGAGTTTTTAACTTGATTCTTTTGGATCCTTTGTGTCTGACTGAATGAATGAGCTAGAGAGGACAGCAGCATCAGAAGGGATCATGGAAAGGATTGTTCCCATCCCGGGAGGTGGTGGGGACAGGCACTGTCTCCTCCATCTCTGTTGAGCACCACCTGTGCAGGTGCCTTTGGCTGCACAGTGTGGGAACTGGGACACATCAGACTCTTCTTAGGCTGCGGATCGGCCACTAGTACTGCATTCCTGCCCCACTCCTCTAAGTGTAAATACTTACTCTCTATTTTCTTTATCCTCATTTCCCAGGGAATGAAGATGACCACAAAGTTACAGGCGAGACGAGCAAATTTCCGCCAGAGCTAGAAAGGAGAGAGCAGGATTAGAGAACTTCACATTCATGAAGATGGCAGTGGCTCTGTGATATTAGGGTCCTAAATGGAGGAGGGGACTTCCAAACACACCCCCTGATGCATTTAATTATGGTTTAATAGACCTTCTAGGACCAAAGTAGCTGCCTTGTTTTCTCTGTATTCCTGACCAGATGAGTGTGCACCTGCTTTGAGCTCTGAACTCTGAGCTCTGAGCTGTGGTGTCTGCATTAAGGTGCATATGCTCTAGGGTTGCAGCTTACCTTATTCATACCATTCCTGAGGCAGGGACTAAGAACAGTGGAAATTACTTACGGGATGATGTCTAAATACACCCACCTATCTCATTGTAGACCTAAGATAGCTCAGGGAGTAGGCTCCAGTAATCTGCATGGCTAACAGACTCCCCAGGTGATTACAACTGTATCTGTGCCTAAGTACCAAGAGTCCAGAGCTTACCCTGAAATGAGTGCCATGCTATCGTGTGCCTCGCATCCTGCAGCACAACTAGTTTCCCAGGCTCCCTCCTGGCCAAAGCTGTGAGAGATGAAGTCTTGAAATCTGTCTTGTGAGTTTAAGACACAATTGCCAGACGTTCAAAAAACTTTTTTTTTTTTTTTTTGTCAAGGGAGAATAAAACAAAATGTTCTCTTACACCAGCTCTGCTCTCCAACAAAGTTGGCAGGTTGTACATTTTAACACATGAATAATCTGGGTTTGTGTTGGAAGCAAATTATATCATTGCAGAATAAAGGGTTACAAATGTAGTTACAGCAGTCTGAACTGTAAGACAGCACATAGTCCTGATACAGACTCATATGATAATGTCATTCTGGATGTATCTGCTAAGGGCAGAACAGCTGTGTGTAAATGAAAATCTGAATTTTATCAGTAGTTGGAATTGCTCATCTTCTGTTCATGATTCAAGGGCCAGCTCACATACAGCCGCTCCCATGAAGACATCACACAGATTCTCTGTAGCCAGAAGGAAATTCTTCCGTCTGTAAACACCCTTAGCCATAACTTCTGGTCTCTCTCATGATGTTTACTACATCCTACCTTGCACTGCCTCTACTTTGTTCAGCTGGCTTATCTCCTAGAGCACAGAGAGGAAGATCAAGGCTTTCTGATCTTTTGTCCCCAGTAGCATCCAGAGGCAGGAGTGCTCAAACATCCTTTGGCAAGTGTTTAGGGTTGGAAAGCATTCGAGTCTCTTGCCTCTTTTAAAGTTGTGAAGTCTAAGAAACACTGGACAGAAGGCCAGAGACATGAGTTCTAGCTCCAGCTCTACATCTATCGACTGTGTGCCCCTGGGGCAGTTATTTTCATTCCTTGGGATTCTGTTTCTTCATCTGCGCAAGGAGCAGTAGGATTCAATCAGTGGCATTCAGAGTTTTCTTTAAATTTAAAATTGCATGAGAATCGAATGAAATAAGTTAAAGTAATGCAGCTTTTATAGGTAGGAGATACGAAGTCTCCTCCCTGGCCTCTGATGCTTCAGAAGCCAGGACCCCCAAACTCAGTTATAGAGAGCACTGTAGTGAATGACCCCTAATGCTCATTCTGATAATGACAGTCTATTCTAGCTTTGCCTAAAGAAGCTTCCTAGAGGCAAACACGATTGGAAAAGGTGATTCATTGATGACCAGGATTCTATAAGGCATGGAAAAAACACCATGCTTCCTTGATGCTTTGCATCAAGTCTTCCTGGCAAAAGCCTTGAAACTCTGAAATGATTCAAGATTTTCAGAGCAAAGCAAAAACAAAACAAAGCAAATCAAAACTTGAAAGAAATTGATTCTAACTGTGGGCTTGGGTTATTGAGTTTGGGTAAACTGAGAATAAGCTCATTCTTTCCTCTTTGGAAAAGTTTATGAGGTCACCCGGAATAAATGTGTTCTAACAACACGTGTAATAGTTTATGAAAAATGTATTCATTCATGGCAGTATTGAGCACCTAGGTTGTGTTTTCCTGTGGATAAACACAGTGGACATGCCAGATGTCAGCTGGTGTGGAGTTTGCACTCAGGTAGAGCAAGACAGCTGCAAACAAGTCAATGCCACTGTGGGACACAGTCTCTTAGGACTGGGGAGAAGACAAGGAGGTCAGGGAAGGCTTAGCTGGGGAGGTCATACCTGAGTTGAGACTTGAATGTAAATGAATCAATACTAAAAAAAAAAAAAAATTGGAAGAGCAGCCATCTAGGAAGGGAGAGTAGCCAGTACAAGTCTTTGGGTGAGCACAAGCTGGGCATTTTACAGAAGAGGAGGGAGGAGAGAGGAGTGAGATGAAGTTAAATGGGTAGGCAGTGACCATATCAGGTGGGCATGGGAAAGAGTTTGATTTTAATTGTAGGTGTAATTACAGCCATCATCATCATCATCATCGTCATTGTCATCATCACCAAGGGATGGCATGAGTGGTTTACTGTTTCAAGCATTGCCTGGCTGGCCCCTGTGTGAAGGTGAGTGGATTACAGAGACATGAGTGACAGCAGGAGGGCCCGTTGGGACGTCATCAGGTCTATATGTCATCATTGGCTGGTGCTTTGAGTCCTACACAGAGGAAGGGTTCTTGCCAAATTATGCCATGAAGGCTCTTGGGAGGAGTGACTTCTCTTGTTGGTTTCATGTGGAAAACAAAAGACATAAAATGTTAGATTTAAAAGGAATCTTAAGAATCAGGCATAAAAAGCACATCACTTTAGAAGTCATTTGCCCAGAGCAGGGAAACAATGGCAGAAAGGCCCTGGTGTCCTGCCTCCAGCTGTCTGCCAGGGCAGCATCTCTGCCTGTGTGGCTTCTGAGTGCTGTGGTCTCACGCTCTCATTCCCTGATTTCTTAAGAAACATAGAAACGTGCTGGTGTTAAAGGGAGACTATCTGTTTCAGGGTGTTTTCCTGCTAGAATCAAGCAGAAAGCTGTATGAACAGAGAATGCAGGTGGGAAACAGGCGGAGGGGCTCCAGAGGACGTCTCATGTCTGGAAGAGTGATTCCCGAGAGAGGATAGAGTGACAGCTCCCGTAGATGTCAAAGCTATCATTTGTATAATATAAACCAAAGACTATAAATAGAGACAAACCAACTGGGCTGCAGGCAATATGCAGACTGGCTAATATCCTGTATCTTCTCTGCTTTGGGGCTGGAGTGGATGCTGGTCCCCAGTGGTTCATATCAAAATTTTCAGTGGAAAACAATTTCTTCTAAATATAAAAAGGTGCAGAAATGCTGTTCTGAATAAGAAAGGAAGCACCAAAGTGTTCAGGAAGACCTGGTGGGAGGAGGACTTTTTCTTTAGCATTTTGCTATCTCCAGAGGACAGAAAGAGCAGTGCACAGCCCCAGTGCCCAGCATAAGGCATGGCACAGCATCGAGCTGAACTGGACCAAACTGCTTTCTGCCCAGCCATCAGTAATGTTGAAATGACGGGGGCAGCTGTGTCTGTTAAGGGCTGGCTGAAAACTTGTGGGCAATCACTAGGCAAGCCTGAAAATTTGGATGACTTTTCTTATTCTAAAATCTCTGCCTCTAAAAATTCAGCCCATTATCAAGTTACACCTTTAATCATATTGAGTTTACTGCCATTAAAAGTCCCAATATTTTTTCATTGTTATATATATTACAGGTTGTCTGGACCCAAGTGAAGGACTTTATAGTATTTCATAAATGCTTTCTTAGAGTATTTCAAACAGTTCATTGAGGAAAAAGAAGAAGAGAACTTGGCAGTACACATGCTTATAAAAAGATAATTTTGTTTTATATATTTATCTGATAAACTCATATTTGTGACAGGCATATGGTGTTATGGGTGATTTTGGTTGTAAAAATGAATTAGAATTCTCAGGAAGATCTTGTGGAGACTAAGAAGAAAGAAGGCTAAAGCAGAACCTCGGGGATTCTTTGATATTTGATTATTTTTCATCATAAATTTATGACCAGCTCTAATTTAAACTTTATTAAGAATATTTTTGTTTCTGAGAATCTAAAAAGAGTCCCTTTTTGTTTTTATCTGTTAAAATAACAAACATTAAAATACATAATATTCGACATTGGTGTAGATATTATGGGACCAGTGAATTGTTTCATTGTGGATGGCAACATAAATTACCAAGGATTTTCAGAAAATAACTTTCTAATGTTTATTAAGAGCCAAAAAATGGATCATAATCTTTTCTATGGTGATTGTAGTTCTGAAATTTATCTTAAGAAAGTAATTCAAAAGGAGAGGAAAATTTATATGAGCAAAGATGTTCTTTGCAGGGTTATTAATAATGAAATATGAGAAGCAATTTAAATATCCACAGAAGACAAGTGACTAAGTTAATATATTTGTCTGATGGAATATTAAACAGTTATTGAAAATGGTAAGTATAAAAATTACATAACAACATGGAAAATTCTTATGGTCTTAAGTGAAAAGAGCAAGACAAAAAATGTTTGTAGACTATAATTACTATGATGTGAAAATTATATATTTCTGTAATGACTGACATAAGATTTTTAAAAAGGTACTATATTGGGGAGTAGGAGACCATAGAAGGAGAAGTGACTTTGTTTGTTTCTTAACACTTATGAACTGTCTTTAAACAGGTAATTTCAATGTATACTGAAGTTTAGCTTTAAGTAACTGAATGGGAAAAATGATAATCAAAGACCTTAGCATTGTATTATAAAATGAGAGTTGGAATATGCCTGTAACTTGCTCATTACAAGGGATACAATGAAACAGCTGTACACAGGGATACAGTGAATAAAACCTACTCATATGGGTAGGATTAAGTCAGGAAAGATACAAGATCATTCTTGAAAGGGAAGGCATCCTTTTCCTGATGAATTAGGCTTAGCCGGTGTAGTGAATTCTTATAATTTTATGATGCCTCAGCATCCATTCTGAATGCACGTTTAACGTTCTCATACCAGAAGCAGGGCCCAGTCACACTTGACAGTTTCCAGCTCTACACCACACCCAAATGGCTCAAGCTGGTGGCCTGACATAGGCACTTAGAGGCATCTCCCCACCTAGCATGCTGTGCTCCCCGCTTTCCCGCAGCTTCCATCCAGGCATTTGCCCGTGAACTTGAAGTGGCCCACATCCTGTTCCCGTATATACACTGCTAGTTACCACGCACTCTCCTCTTTCTTCCTGACTCTTCACTCCTTCCTCGCATGACCTGGGGACAGAGGACTGCCCTTCCGACTCATCGTGCCCTCCCTGCCCAGGATCTGTAGGTGAGAATCTTCGGACTCATCTCCTGTTGCGGTGGTGCATTGAATTCACACCTCCCATCTGAGGAACCAGGGGCTGCCCCAGGTTCGATGTTTCCATCGAACATCCAGGAAAACACAAGGTCAGGCTCCCAGCACCAGAGCGATGGTCAGGCCGGAGTAAAACTGGACGCGGGTCACACAGAGCACAAGGGCGTCTGCCTGTATAAACAAGTTCCCTGGTTGCAACTAGGCGTTAGGCTGTCGGCCAGGTAAAAGAAGCATCCCGTGAAAGGCGCCCTGTAAACGCCACGTCCAGCTCCCCTTCGTCTCCAGTTAGGGCAGGGTTGCTAGTTGCTCTGGCACTGGAACCTCAATTTAGCTGGGGGCTCTCAAAACATCCAGTGTCACACAATTGGTAAAGTGATGGCATCTGTGACCAGAATTCAAGTTTTTGGGAGTTCATACTTTCCAGCTCATCACCTGCTCTACAGCTGTTAACGACTGAACCCCTCAACAATGGCAAGTTCAATGGCAAATGCAACTTCCTGGTCCTGGGAACTGTGGGAAGAAGTGGTAGCACCCACATGTAGCTCCTTTACCTCTGCACCTGCTGCTTGGTAGCCTCGGGTCCTGGTCAGCCTCCCTTCAAACTTCAGCACAATCTCCTTCGCTCGTCTGAGAGAAGAAAAACATGGCGGTGAATGCATTTAAGTCACACTTACAATTTTTGCAAAATATGTGGCAATGCAGCAGGAATAGGTAGCCAAATGATGTAGGACAGGATGCTGTGGGAAGGTGGAGTTGTATAAATATTTCATTTCCTGACTTTTGATAATCAGAAAACTCCTTTAAAAATATATTCTTTAACATTTAAATGGATGAATTCATCCAGAATGATGGATTCATATCAAAATTATTTACAACCAAATTTCTGAAAGCCCTTTCCTGATTCTGGCATTTGCCTGGGATTAATTAGCTTTGGAAATCCTGGTAGCAGGGACTAGCATCTCGGCTCCTCTACTTAACAACGTTCGTATTGCAGTCAATTCTTTGGAAGTGAAAATCAGACCTAGATTCAGAAACTCTGCTTTGAGAAAAGATTGGTGCCTGGTTAACGTGAGCATGGAAGTTGTGCCTGCATAGCCATGAGCAACCTGACTCAGCCCAATCTATGACACACTAACTGATCACTTTCCTGAGTTAACCTGATATCTCTGCCTAAATGTTCAGTCCTTTAAAATGGACTGAATTCATTGGGATGAATGAATAAATCCACACGTAAATAAACAACAGGATAGAAAAATGAATGTTGGTGCCATGGGACAGACTGAGGTCAAAGATTCGGAGATGAATGTCACCTTCAAGGTAACCTAGTCATACACCATCCTAATGCAGACCTCCTCTTTATCCGATGGTCAACAACCCTTCACTTGATTATGCTCAGTGTTGAAGAATTTAGTTCTTCTGAATCGGCCAATTTGCCAGTTTGACAGGTTTACTTGTTCTAGTTTTCTTGCTTGTGTATCCCAGGCAACCTCCCAGTAACACCCACTGGTTCTGAGTCCCTCCTTGGGAAATACAGGGAACAAGCCAGCCCCTTTTTCCACAGACAGATGATCTTTTCAAAATATGACCAAACCAGAATACTTGATTTTGGACCTCAACCCCTCACCCCTATTGCAATATCCCTGTCTTCATAGCTTAGCCAATGCACTGGCTTCATTCTGGTGGTAGGAACCAGAAGTGCAGGTGCAGGTGAGGATTGCTGTGCTATTCAATACCATGACCACCACACTGAGGGCCATCTTCAACAGACCTGCAGGCTACAAGTGTCTAAGAAATAAAGATGGAAAAAGTCAAATAACAATTCATTTCATTTATTTACTTATAATTTTTTTCCCACAAACATTTTCTGCACACCTGTTTTGGGCCAGGCATAGTGGAACACAGAGAGGCATAACAGAATTGCCGCCCTGGAAAAGCTCACTACCTCATAGGGATGAAAGGGACCTAAAGCAACAACAGCCAAGAGAGAGTGGGTGTGGCAAGTGCTACGACAGAGGGGTGATCGGGTGCTGAAGGGGCAGGGAGGGATGGAACCAACCTAGCCCCAGTCATAGACCTATGTCGACTCTACCAGTTCTGACCACTTGCTTCCCTGCAGGGAAAACAGGAGTGTGCTGTGTCCTCCCAGACGGGTGGCTTTTGCTGCAGACTCAGGGCTAGCTTGCCCTGCTTTTTTCCATGTTGGGCAATGCTCACTTTATTCTCAAGCAGTCAGGGTTCAGTGCTCCCGGCACCTTCCACAGAGGCTCCAGGATGAGCTTCAGCAGGTCCGATTAGTGAAGTGTTGCCCCAGTGGCTTCTCAAGGTGACAGAGAGGAGATGTGTGGGACAAGGGGATGACATGTGGATGTGCTCAGAGAGCAAGCTGCACTCTGGGAGCTTGGCCGCTGGCCTGATGCATGGCCAGGGTCAGCCGTGTTGGTGCTCTCAGTGACATGGTCAAGCAACATGGTGGAAGCCCTGGTTTGTTCTTTGTCTCCGAAGTACCTTGACAGAAAAGTTATTATTTGCTCTGCTCCACCCTCAAGGCTGAAAAGGCTTAACCTCCTATTATTCAGATAACGATGAATCATCATTTCTGAATGATTTTTTAAAAATCCTGATAGCACATATGCCTTTTTTTCCCTAAGATTAATTGCTGTCATGGTTACTTTGGTGAAAATCCTGTGTTTCAACACAAAAGAACACTGGACTCGGGGACAGAAAGCTTAGGTTTAAAGCTTAATTCTAGCACTCAGAAGCTGTGTGTAGCTTGGATTAGTCTCTTTACATCTCTGAGTATCAGTCTTCTCATCCAAAAAATGAACATAGTGAAAGAAATAGAAGTGAAGAGAGCTAACAACAGACATGGGAGGCAGATAAAGGAGGATTAGTTGGAAACCTCTGAAGGTGAAAACTGTGGATGACCTTAGCTATCTGCTGCAGCCACCTGAGGCATAGGCCGATCAGACTGGAAGAAAAATACCTGGAATGGAAACCTAAGACAGGAACAATTTTACAGGAAATAAATACAAGACTAAAGATGATAGATATGGAGAGAATGGAATGTCTGCTTGGCATCTAGAAAAAAGCAATAAAGAGTAAGACACCACAGTGGTTCTGTCCACACAATGGGCACCTGACAATCAGGTGTAGTGTCTGTTTTGCCAGGAAGGTCCACTCCATAGGTCACTGTAGCTCAGTGGTACAGGTTGTGACGACCCTTCTGCTAACTCCCTTTGATGTGATCTCAGGCATCAGCATAATTAATCCTCACTCACTTTTAGTGAGTAACTATTATACACAAGATACAATGCCAGGAACTCACATGGTTTATGCCATTTAATTCTTCAACAAACTGCTATTAGTGAATCTCAAACTTAAGTATAAAAAAGAATTAATGTGAATGCCTGTTAAAAATGCTGGGGCCTTCTCCTATCATTTGATTCAGTAGGTCTGAAGGCAACCAGGGATTCTGAGTATTTAGCAGCACCCTCAGAGCTTTGCAGGTGACATTGCTGGAAACACTGCTGCAGGAAGTAAGAGCTATTCCTCTCCATTGCTTCTACTTTAAGGAGAAAGGAACTGGTGTTTAGAGAAATTGAGAAAATTACCCAATATCATATGGTTGGAGATTGGTAGAGGTAATAGTTGAATTCAGGCAATCCGTCTTCAAATATTCTGCACTTAACTATTATATACAAAGACTTTCTAATATGACTCTGAGTAGCATAATAATCTGTCTTCCCATAGAGATTTTTTCCCTCAGAGGGAGGTACTAGTCAAGCAACTAAAATGAACAGCTCTTTTTTACTTTGGTTTATACCCATGTTTAGTGAGTTTGAAGACAATGTTAAAATCTAGTTTTTGGAAAGGAGGTCGAAGACCAAAAACTCTCCACCAACACACACATCCAACACAGACATATACACACATATACACACACATACACACACACACACAGAACTGGCTCTCTGGACCAGCTAGACTACCCAGATATCTTAGTGACTTCTCTAAGTCAGGTCAAGTGACTGAACCACCACTGTCACATAGGTCTTTGTCCTCATTCTATGGGCAGGACAGGGTAGTTTCTTGGAAGGCATACTTGAAGTAATCAGTAATTGCTACTGAGGCCCTTACCTCAATGCCCTCAGCTTCTGTCCCATGGTCCAGGGTCTGCAGCGAATGTTTGCCATGAGTTCTTTCTGGAACTGAATATTCTGGAAGATTTTTTCTGGATCACTGCTGTCCCCTGTTTCATCAGCATTAAAGTTGTCATCCAAGTTGCTGAATGGAGCATGGCATTAAAGGGGAAATCTGATTAGTAGAATTGCTTACAGCAAAGATCTTGCCCTGGGCAAGTTCAGCATCTCACTGCCCCAGGGTCACGTGTGTGTGTGTGTGTGTGTGTGTGTGTGTGTGTGTGTAAGAGGAGGCATCATAGAGGTAGAGAGAGACTTTGGCAGTGTTAGAAACCCAATGAAACCCGTTTGTTGGATTCTATTACTTTCGGTGGCTCAGTGAAAGAGAGCAGTTTCTCCAAGTGAAAGGTATAAGAAGACACAGAAGGAAACAAGAGTTTCCTTATAGGTACTATTGGATTCCTGAATAGCAGCAATTTTGGTGGACAGAAATAATTTTTTTTTCAGGCTTATTGAAATAATCAGCTGATTTTAGAGGTAGGACTCCTCCTTGTCCCCCAACCTGAAGGTAAAATAAATAAAAACCAAACTTCTATCACGCAGAGGCCCCTCCCCACACTTCAATTTATTTTAAACATGAGATAAGAGAGGCAGAATCAGGCATCAGTTTCTATGAACAAGAAATTATCTAAGCAAATTCCATAGGCAACATATTTCAGGGAAATAGTTATTCTCTAGAAGAACAATGTTTCAACCTGTAGCAACACTTATTCCTAGTAACAATTAATATGCCAGTCCTAAAGCAATCTTTCAGCAGGAGATAAGAGCATTCTCCTATGGCTATTAGAAGTAAGAGAAAACATTTCCCACGTTTTTCTCTAATTCAGATTGTTTTTACTTACTCAGAGAAGAATTTTATCCATTTTCTCCAAATCCAATAGAGATTTTAGTAGACTTTTATAAATGGCGAACAAATTTGAATAGTACTCTCATCCACTTCTAAGTAAGCCTTTTCCCAAAGACACCTTATTTATGTCAGATGTGTTATCTGCTCTCTCGACATTGCTGATTGAGTAAACAGCGAGAAAACAGACAAAGCACATCTGTGGGCTTGGCCAGCAATAAAGCCAGGTTGTGACACAGACTCTTGGATTCTGACTTCCTGGTCAAGAAGCAGCAGGTAGAGCCATCTCTCTCAGCACATTGCTGAGGCTGCCACCGCAACTGTACAGGAACCTGGAGCGATGAATTTCTGAGTTCAGTCTGAAGGAGAACCCAGGACAACAGGGACTTTGTCCCTTCCTCGCACACCTGCCTCCTCTCCCCAGCTGAAGGGTGGCCGGCTCACCTGAGCACCAGGGACTCCTGGTAGAGGTAGCGCTGGCTGGCATTTCTCCGGATGCTTCTATAGCGCTGGGATGCCTTTGAGGGTTTCATGGAAGCCGACTTGCTGCCAGTGATTAGGAATTGCCCAGAGAGCTGAGAAGCAGAGAAGCCTGTGGGGAAGGATCCGTTCCAAGGGAGGTTTCTGAAAGGGAGCTGCCGAGTTGCTGTACCCTCTAGGGCAGTTCTCAGGAGCTGGACTGCGAGCCTGCAGCTGCTGGTGCTGAGAGCAGGAAAAAAGCCAGGAGGCCAGTCATGCATATGTAATGTTAAGGTGGCCGTGGCAGCACAGATTGGCTGGAGTCTGGACAGCTGAAGGTGGGAGGCTTGGCCAGGTGATCTAGGAATAACTTTTGCAACCCCTTGTGCCCAGACAGGGCTCGATGGTTTTGCAAAGCATGGTACATCTATTACCATGGCTGGTGTTCACAAAACACTTACTTAGGGAGTTGGGCTTAATTTTCCCATTTTTGCCTCTCAAGAAAGAGGCTGAGAGAAAGTAAGGATCTTGCCCATGTTCACACAGCAGAGTCTAGGAGAGGCACAGCCGTAATGCTCTATTTGTTTTCACTTTTTTTTTTCTCAATTTTTTTCCTATTTTGAAAAAAGTCAGACCTACAGAAATGTTGATGAAACAGTACCATGAATAGCTGTATATTCTTAACCTAGTTTGCCAATTGCTACATTTTGCCACAACTGCTTTATTTCTATCTATATATTTTTTCACCCTACACCATTTGAAAATAGGTTGCAGAAATAATGACACATCAACCCAAATATTCAGCATGATATTAACAATAATCAAATTAATATTTTATTATATTTTACACTTACTATGTGTGGTCACATGAATCAGCACAATGATCCTGTGAGACTGAGGGTAAAAGAAATTAAGAAGCTTTTTAGAGATTCATAGTAGGAGAATAAGAATTTGATAGGGATTAGACTCTCACCCAGATATTCTGAAAATAAATTGCCTTTTGTAAAGTGGGATGCCTAGCCTATCCTAGTCCATGAAAAAATGTTGGAGCAGCCCCCTTCTCCTTCCCTAGCCACAGGCAGAATGGTACCCTGTTCCCTTGTCACCTAAAGGTTTCCTTTGTTTGTCACGCACTAGTATTCTCCATCAAAGACCTCTTTCTTATGTCCAAGACTTACCCACAGTTTCACAATATAAGCCTCTATTTGCTACTTAACACAAGAAATGGTTTGATTGCAGTGGGGTTAATCATACCTTTCTATTAAATGAACAAAAGGCGCAGGTCTGAAATAGAAATGGCCCTTTCTGTTGAACACTGTACTTAGTACTCACTAAGGACTCAACAAATAGTGAATAAATGACCGGGGGTTTGAAAGGCAAATAAATCAGACAACAGAGCAGAAAGGAAATCCATCAGCAACTGCAGGTGTGGGGCTTAGGAGAGAGACTTCATTCATTCAGTCAGTTAGGCCTTCATTAATCCATTAGCAAATATGGGATAGCTCTTACTGTCTGCCACGTACTGAACTGGCAAAGGCAAGCCAGAGCCCTAGCCCGGGATCCTGGGGTTCAGGGGCTACCAGACAGGTGTTCAGATCTAGGGGCCAGGGCATGGGAATGAAGCAGAAGCCCAAGTGCCAGAGCTGGCCTTGGGTCAGAGATGAACCTGGGGACCTCTGAGGCCAAGTCATCTGTTGGCCAATTTGCCTGAGGCCATTTCGTCTAGTGACCTAAATAAAATGTGTGCTTATCAAATGGACAAATGGCATATACAATAGGATTATTTCTAGCCCCACTGAGATTTTTTTTGCATTCTTTTAGAGATCTTTGCTTATACTATATCTGAACATTTCAAAGATTTTTTTTCATCCTACTTTTTAAAAAGATCCCTCTGCCTTATTTTGGACTATGTATTTAAAAATTAATAATATTTTATATTAATCTCATACAACGAAGTATTTTGAGCATTTTTGTTTCTTCTTTGCTATTGCATATATTTGGGGTGGGGAAGTAAGGAAAGGTTGTAGCAAATTTTGAGAAACTACAAGATTTATTGAAACAAATTAGAAGAAACTCAATCCTTTTAAAAAAATACTTATTCAGGTAATTCTGTTTGACAGTATGAGTGAGATAAGAAAGGTTGATCAAAGATATTTAACTCTATTTTTAGTATCCAAATTAACTGGGATTATTAAATAAGAATAGCTGCTACTTTTGATATGAATAAATCATCCTAGTTTTTGCCTAACTTTAAGGAAGTGTAGATTTCTACACATTTTTATTATAAAAGTAATGTATAGTCATTAAATAAAAAAATGGTAACAATAGGAAAATTAAAAATAGGAAAAATTACCTAGAACAGTGTTGCTTCAAGATATTAACTGTTTACAGTTCCCACTTTTTATCAAGTGCTTATTTTTCTTTATATTTATATATTTTTCAATTTTACTGGATACATGCATTTCTTTTATCTTTTCCATTAATGTTATATCTAAAGCAATTTCCATGTTACTTTTTATTTTTACGAACATATGTTATCAACAGGCCATTGAGTGGAATATTCCACATAGAACATGGAACGTTTGATTCTGCCCCATTTCTCAAGCATCCATTTTGTCCTCCCACAAACATTTTTTTTGCCATTGATTTGTTTTTGCTTTTATCATAATTTCTTTAGTTTTCCAGAAATGAAATTACTGGATCAAAAGGAATATTATTTTTTGAAATTTAGTATGTTGTCAAATGAATGTGGATCCCTTTACATTTATATTGATTTAATGTGTTTTTATTATTAGTGATAAGATGAGATTTTAATCAAAACTCACATTTCTCTGTAATGTTTTCATGGTTTCCTTGGTCTGATTTTTTAAAAATTCCTTCTTAAGTGCCACTAGCCTTCATTTTGGTGAAGCGTTCAAGGTGAGCTTTTTAGTCCCCACCAGGAGGGACTCAGGCTGGCTTCCCCATTTCCTCTCTAGACTCTTGCTCAAAGGGCTGGACAGAAAGAGGAAGTGCAGAGGATGTTGCTTTCTGAATGCGAGGGGGTTAATTACTCCACAAGCCATTGACTTCCTCTGACAATTTGATTAGAGGCTTTAGATGTGCTGGATGATTTTAAATTAAGCCAGAATTTGTATATAGATAAAAAGATTAAAATCTTTCAAATACTTACAAAATTGAAACATTTTGAAAAATCAGAAAGGATCCAAACAATGTCAGAATTGGCTACAGTTATTATTTGCTAGACCAACTGCTTAGGGAATCCTTGTGGTGAGGGAAGGCAGGCAGTGAAGGGAAAGAGAAATAGCAAGAGAAGACCTAATTGTATAACATACGAATCCCTTTCAGTTAAAAAAAAAATTAAATTTAGTTATAAATCCCAGAAGGTTTTAACAGAAATCATCTGAAGGCTAAGCTTACAAAAACAAAAACATTCATTTCCTACGTCATCAATTAAATAATCTTTTTCCTGCTAAGTGAATTCTATTCCGAGACATTAATATCCCTGGGCACATCTTAAAGTGTATGTTTGAGTCCAGTGTGTCCCATCAGTAATGTCAAGCTCCCTCTTCTTAGTTATTACATTTTCAGCTCCGGGTTTCACAAGACCATCTTTCCCATTTCTGCGATGTATTTACACACCTGTTACATTGTTTTAGCAACTCTGGAAGCTTGTTTGACGTTTGGAGATATGTTTGAGTCTGGAGAATGTTATTCAAAGAAGATGCTCAAGAATAGAACATTTCTAATTATCTAAGTAACAACTGAGTTTGCTGAAACATGAGAACAAAAAAATTTTTTTTGTTACAATTCCTTAGGAAGTCACTGGCAAACTTGAAACTGAGCAGACACTCTGAGATTTCCATTAGGAGTCATGTGATACAGTTGCTCACTTAGAGAACAGTGAGAGATTTACAAATGGGTTGGTGGGGGGGGGTTGTCCTTTGCTACAGTTGTCCCTTACAATAAATGTGACACATTGTCACCACCACAACAGATTCCTTTAAAAAGAGGAACTGACCATCCAGATTACAATTGAGATACAAATTATAGAGCTGCCCTGTCCTGCCTGCTGTTGAGCTTTCTCGAGGAATGGAATTCTTTTTCATATATGATTATAACAAAATACATAAACTGCCTTAGAAAAAGAAAAAAAATTGGAACTTCCTAAAAAGCTGGGGTAAAAAAAAAAAGCAGTTGAATTCCTTGTTAAGCAACCATTTAGTAGTTGTCTGAGATTTTTCTTCAATAATTTTTAATGTGTTTGTATGTTTCCTAATGGTTGGGGAACATAAGAAAGCACCACCTCTGCTGTCTCTGAGGAGGAATGACCTCTTCTCAGCGTTTCTTCCAAGTCCTTCCAGAAATGCTACATCTCAACCAGTGATGGAAGCCAAAGAGCATCTGGAACCAGCTGAGCCAACAAAACAGCAGGTTTCAGACAAAACATCTTTATGACATGTTGGCCTGTCACCAAAATGTAAAATTTAGGGGCCGGCCCGGTGGCACACTGGATAGTGCGCTGCTTGGGAAGCGCAGCGGCGCTCCCACCCGAGGGTTCGGATCCCACATACAGACCGGTGTCCGCTCACTGGCTGAGCGAGGTGCGGGAGCAGCACCGAGGGGTGCGATCCCGTTGCCGGTCCTGGTCCGGTACGGGGGCGACACTGAGGGTTGCGATCCGTTGCCGGACCCGGAAAAAGACAAAAAAAAAAAAAAAGAAAAAAATGTAAAATTTAGGGGCCGGCCCGGTGGCACACTGGATAGTGCGCTGCTTGGGAAGCGCAGCGGCGCTCCCACCCGAGGGTTCGGATCCCACATACAGACCGGTGTCCGCTCACTGGCTGAGCGAGGTGCGGGAGCAGCACCGAGGGGTGCGATCCCGTTGCCGGTCCTGGTCCGGTACGGGGGCGACACTGAGGGTTGCGATCCGTTGCCGGACACGGAAAAAGACAAAAAAAAAAAAAAAAGAAAAAAATGTAAAATTTACAGGTTTTTGCTTTGTTCTTAGTATGATATTTTTAAATCCTTTCTTTTAGGAAAATTATCCTCATCTTTTTCTTCAATATACAGTGACATCTGTTTTCAATTTTTCTTTTCTTTTTAAAT